CAGCACCTCACACTTCTTGCAGATTCCAACTACCAGAGGTATTCCTTCTTATTCATTTCCCCACCACAATGACATTAAAATTCTTATCGTGTGTATCTCTGTGTGTGGTATGTAATCAGCACTTAAATGTTTACTATGGGCTAGGCACTCTTTTAAGAACTTTAATATATATTAACTCATTTAATTATCACAAAACCCCAGTGAAGTCAATACTATTTTATTGCCATTTTTACAGATGGGGATTTTGTATCTGGAGGTGAGATTGGATTCAGGCAGCCTGACTTCTGTGTTCATGCTCTTTACTACTAGCTGATCTCTACCAAGTTTTTATGAGGAATTCTGTTTGATTTAGAGTTATTCTAAAGGTGTGAAATAAGTTAAATGTTAACCAATAACCTTAATGCTCCCAGATGGTATTTGTTTTTTAAAAGAACAACCTTCTTATCCAATAGAGAAACTTTAAAAGTAAGGGCCTAAGGTAAGAGAGAAGCACTAGCAGTTTGGCCTCTTACTGGAAACACACACCTATAATGCTGTAATTTTAAACCGCTTGGTTTTAATTTGGGGGTTAATGTGCATATTTTATTTCTTGGATCATAAATCAGACCAGCATTTTTATAAACCAGCCAGCTTTTTAAACTCAGTTCTTACTATCCAGTTTCCAGATCCGGTTTCAGCCAGTCTGAACTTTTTGTCATTTCATAAACATCTCACCCTCTTTCATATTCCCATGCCTATGGACATACTGGTTTATTCTGCCTGGAATTCCATTATGATGGAATGCTCATCATAATGATGATTATCATAATTTTAATTTTTATACAGGGCATTGACTCAGTCAGATCTAGGGAGTTTTTGGTTGTAGATTTAGTGATCATCCCCACCTGCGTCTTTGAATTCACTTGGGTTGTGGAATCTTACTTCTTTGGCCTCCTCCCTTCTCTTGTCGTTCAAACCCCTGCTTTACCTGAGAAACAACTTTAATATCATCTTTGTAAAAGATACCCCCAGTCACCCTTTCTTCGTTGCCTTTTTTTTTTTTTCAGAAGAGCACTGACAAATTTTGCATATTGTAAAACCAAATTTTGTGGTTGGTTAACTGATTTATCTACCCTACTAAACATAGGACCATCTTCAGGGAGAGAAACCTAGACTTAAATTTTTTGTTTTCCCCTTCCCCATCATTCATGAGTGCTCAGTAAATATTGAAGGACTGTGAGTCTTCTTAAAACTTTATCCTACTTTCTAGCCAACAGCTAACCATATCTGGGACAGATAAATTTGAAAGGGAGCTGGAAGTTTGGGGAAAAGGCAGCGGGAGACGGGAAATGCCTACGTCTACCACAGAATCTTGGAAGTCTAACCATGCCCTGCCAGTATGGGAGCTGGTAGCACTAGCCACATGTGGCTTTTTTTTTTTTTTTTTTTGAGTAGGCTCCACAACCAGCATGAAGTCCAATGTGGGGCTTGAACTCAAGACCCTGAGATCAACAGTCAGACTCTTAATCGACTGAGCCATCCACGTGCCCCCACATGGAGCTTTTTAAATTTAAAGTAATTAAAATGAAAAATGCAGTTCCTTGGTTTTACTGGCTGCATTTGAAGTATTCAGTAGGCTCTGATGCCCAATGGCTAGTGGCAGCTTTGGTAATAGAACATTTCCAGGAATGCAGAAAGTTATATTGGAACCATTAGTTATTGCTTCCAGTAAGTGTTCTTTGTAGCCCTTCCTTAATTTCCAGATTCCGAAAATAGAATGCAAACTTAGAGTTAATGTTTAAAATAACACAGAAGGCTTCAAAGGAATTTTACTTATCTGGTGCCCTGGATATATGCACTTAGCTTCTGTTGTTAAAGATCAGTTAGTAGAAAATTTTTTTAAAAATCTCATACAGTAAAATTTTAAGAACGAGTTCTGCTGATTTGTTTTATCTTTGGTATCCTAGAAGTAAATCCTGGTTTTTAGTACGCTGGAGGACCTCATTTCATTGGCATTTTTTATTTATATAAAATGTGATCATTTCCATTTGCAGTGAATGCCAGACACCTCTGAGCTAGAACTTCTCTAAAAAAATCAAATAAAAATTATGAATTTAGTAGATTCTTTTAGAATTTGTTGAATTGGTTTATGCAGGTTGTATAAAATGGTATTCTAAGACTTTTCACAGATGTATTATGTGCCTGTAATATGCATATTGTGGTAGTCAATCTGGGTAAGAAACATATTAAGAAAAAGAGCCAAAGTCTGGAAGTGGAGAATCGGAGTAGCTCATACAGTTGTAAAGTCTGCTGGCTGTCTCTACAGTGCAACTGAGAAAGTGAAATTGTTGCCATTTGTGTGTGAATGCATTAGGACAGAACACTAGATGTCAGTATTGTAGTTCTGACATTTTACCAGGGGCTGGGGAAACCTGTTTTTGATCACCCAGGTATTCTTCAGTCACAGAAACATTTAAGACATTATGCCTCTTTACATTTAGAGAAATTCTTACTAGAAGAAGCACTTGTCAAATAATTGTTTATTTTGTTATTAATACGTGTGCAATGCTGCTGACTCTGAGAAATAAGACGTATAATATTAACATCTTTATTTTTCAGGTAATTACATTCTCCAAACTTTGCTTCTCAGTGTACTTTCCAGATCCCTGGTCTGAGGAGGTGCTTCTGAGGGAAAAATTGTGTGACTCTGAAATCTGGTATATAGTAGACACTCAGATTCACTGAATTGAATGATAGTGCTAACAGCTTTTGTTTGGCAAAATCTCGATTTTTTTTTTTTAAGATTTTACTTATTTATTTGACAGAGACACAGCGAGAGAGAGAACACAAACAGGGGGAGTGGGAGAGGGAGAGCAGACTTCCCGTGGAGCAGGGAGCCTGATGTGGGGCTCGATCCCAGGACCCTGGGATTATGACCTGAGCCGAAGGCAGATGCTTAACGACTGAGCCACCCAGGCACCCCAAAATCTAGATACTTTTAAAAATACTTTATAAATAGTAAAATTCTTAAATCACTTATATTTGCATGTCAAAGCCTAGAATCACATGTCCACAGATTTCTTAAATTTCCCCAGCATGCAGGGTATATAGAAGGCTTCAAATTAAATATGTGGCAAATGAGTTTCTATTTAAAACTTTTTTCTTTTTACTGAGAAATGTGCAGCACATTAGAGCAGTGGAATTATTAGCAATTTCCTTTATTATTTCCGTTACTTTTTGATAACACTGACACACTTTTATCACGCTTTGAAGATACTTTATTTTTACTTATTTGCTTGAGGTTCATTTTTCTATATCTATAAAATGTTTTATATGTTTTTATTTGCTGTTTTCTAAGGTTATAAATTTTTATCTTAATGTACTAAATATTAAGTTTTACATATTTTTCATTTCATGAATTTCCAACACTTAAAGGTATCGTGCAAAAGTAATAGCAAAATTGCAGGTATTATAATGATTAGCTAAGTCAGATCTTTCTGGCAGTTCTCTCTTACTTCATGGTTTTCAGTCGAGAGACTAGAGAGGATCACTCAGACATTAATAGCCGACTGTACATTCAGCTCCTTTCATTTTGGTCATGGCAGTAAGCTGAATTAAGGGGAAAAAAAGGCTGAAATGTTACTTGAAAGCAGAATATGTACATTTCGTTGAAATTATTTAAATTATTTAAAGAAGAAAGGGGGCCTTAGAGCTGACAAGCAGGTACATTATTTTGAAGTAACAAAATAACATGAAGTAACAAAAAAACCATGAGACTTCTCAGAGGTAGAAGCAGAGGTTGTGGTTATAATGCTTAGCTTTGGTATGCGCAGCTGAACCCAGCGCAGGCTCCCTGGAGGGAAGTGCTTTGTTAGCTCCTCTGCTCCTCACTAAGGAACATTCCAAATTACTAAGCTATTGGACGATTTTCTCCTTTGAAGTAGTTCCTAATAAGTTCCATTGGCTTCTGAAGAACAAAACAAGCTGTCCAAAAGGCTCTGGACCATATAGATGTATGCAGACTGTGCTGGCCGGTTGTGGTCTTGTTGGTAAAGTACAGTGAACTTCAGAAGTTGAGAAAGGCCACAAAACGTAAACTACAAAAGCTTCTCAATGAGTTGATTTTCAGGCAAGGCCACCGACTAGACTCATACCTGCCAAGCTGCTGACCCCAGCTATTTGAACCTTATAAGATGAACTAGCTGAAATAACCTGTATATGCTTTTTTTGGAGGTTGTGCAGGATACAATTCCAACAGTACACTTTTGTATCTGCAACTCAGAACTTGATAGTGTCATTCAGTCACCCAGTTGTGCAATTGAATCTTTAGTATCTTGGGCAGATATTACTTTATTATTTTTCAAGAATGGTAAATACCTAATTTTATAATGTTATATGCAAATTCTATAAAAGGAGGCTGGGTTTTTTGTTCGTTTTGTTTTGTTTTTTAGACTTTTCTGTACACAAATTCAGTTTTAAATATCTGGGTCAAATCCCCAGAGAGGTTATTCTGACTTCTCTGTACCATGGAAGCATTTTCTTGATGGATTAAAGTTTTTTGTTTATGAACGAAAAACTTTTTTTGTTGTTAATGAAAACAAAACTTTCATTTTGTTAATGAAAATTAAAAATAATTTTCATTAGTCTCTTTAAGTAGTTTAATGGCACAAGTAAGGCCCATGGACTTGAACACACCCTACACTGCTCCCATGTCGGCATCTGCCGGCCCCTTGACAATAGGAGGTGGTGTGGGCTGTTGGATTTGTTTCTGTTGCCTGGGTCCTGGATCCTGGGTGCTGAAGCCCAGCGTGGCTGGGCCAGGTCTCTGGGGGCTGATGGCAGTAGGATGGAGGGCCCTTTTGCTCTCTGCTATTACTCTAGCTGTGGAATTCACAAAGTTCCCCTCTTGTGAAAATGAAGACAGATGGAGAACTGTTAGCTTTTTGACAGGTCCTGGGGTCTGGCATGGCCTTGACAACCTCTTCCTCCAGTGTTAAAGTTTAATTTGTTTCTACTCTTAGGTTCTGTAAGAAGCTGTGGATCAGAAAAGGATGACTTTTCTTCGGATAATGAAGCAGTGGAAGCTGACAATGAAGATGAAGTTGAACCGTGTGGCAAAGGAAATGAACATGCAGCTGAAGCTAGTGTTGGAACTAACATGGGCTGGGCGGATGCCATGGCTAAAATTCTTAACAAAAAAACTCCTAAAAGTAAACCCACTATTCTGGTCAAAAACAGAGAGCTGGAAAAGGAAAAAGAAAAGTTAAAGCAAGAGAGACTAGAGAAGAGAAAACAGGTGTGTCTTACCAGTTGTTTTGTAGATTAGATTGTTTGCCTAGTCTAGTCTAGTTCCTATCTGTACCAAATTGTTCCTGGCAGTGTTTGTCCAATTAACATTCCAGTTTTTAACTTGCTTTTTTACATAGGGTGAATAACCAAGCTTTTGTACAGAGGCCTAGTCTAAATTACTCCATTGAGCATGTTCACTTTTTAATCATCTAAGCAAAGAAATAGAAATTAAACTACTGAGAAATTTAACCTTTTAAAATCAAGTAGATTATACATGTGGCCATGACTCCTGGGTCTAAATACTCAATTTAGCTGTCCATATGCTAACATTATTAGATTCTGAACCAATAGAATCATGTTAGTTACTTTTTACTAACAGCCTATTTTGTAATACAAATCTGTGAAGATGTCCTTGTCAGGGATTGGTTGCAGTTCTGAAAATGGACTGTTTCACTGCTAAATAAACTCGAATTCATTATACCTTTTAAATCACGGCTAGAAGTTAGACTAGGACAGTCTGCTGATTCAAGGCCAAAGTTGGACTTCAGTTTGCTGTTGTGTTTTATAAGAATAAGGAAACAATAATAAGGTTTTTAAATCCCTTATACTTGATGAAGTATTTCTATGTCTAAAAAAATAAATATAAAATAAAATACTTGGTTAGTGAAATAAATACCATTTTTTAATGAAAGAAAAATAACTTTCTGTGATCATACTGACAATATAAAAGTACTGATTTCCAAGAGGTACTTTATAGGTAAAATGAAAGGAAAATAGATTTAGATTGACATATATTTCCTTTTTTTTTTTTAAAGATTTTATTTATTTATTTGAGAGAGAGAGAATGAGAGATAGAGAGCACGAGAGGGAAGAGGGTCAGAGGGAGAAGCAGACTCCCTGCCGAGCAGGGAGCCCGATGTGGGACTCGATCCTGGGACTCCAGGATCATGACCTGAGCCGAAGGCAGTCACTTAACCAACTGAGCCACCCAGGCGCCCGCATATATTTCCTTTTAATTTCATCATCCCCTGTCTTGTTTCAAGGTGAATTATTTTCTTTGTTTCAAATACTAGTACTCTGTGCAAAAGGCTGTATGGAGATGGAACTTTTTAAGTGTTGCTTTTAGAAACAGAACATACTGTGCTACTCAATATTCTCATTTTACTTTAAGATAAATCTTACTGATAGCTTTTCAACTGAAAATTTGAATCTTTATCATCTGGCAAAAGCTGACGGAAGCTTTAAAAATATCAGAATCTTTAATTACCTCTAGTCCCAGTGTTCTAGTCAAAGTAAGAACATTTTGAAGCCAAGAAAAATGAGTCTGTAACTCTAGGCCAGTCCTTTGAGTGCTGGAGATGATACTGTTCACATAATGCATGAAAACACACATGTTGATACCAGAAACAGGACACAGCTGCTACAAATGCTATTATATATTCCTGAGTAGAGTCTGTGTAAACTATCATTGTTTTTTTACTGTTAGATATTATCAGTTTCCAGAATATCAAGTACTTATTTCTGATCATAAGTATAAAAATATACTTCAAAGTTAAAAAATATTTCGGGATTGTGCATGCCTTGGGTACTACAGATAATGAAGAGTGAACTGTTTTAAACCTAAAAGTAAGATTTCTAAATTTCTGGCATAATCTGATAGTGAATTTCATGACAAAGTAAATTATCTGATTTGGGAGGAATCTATTCTTTTTAGAAAGGAATCAGGCAATCTTTATAGTGAGCAGGAATTTGATTTTACTGTGATAGACATTTTCATTAATACAAAAATAAGAGATTAGATGGATGCAGAAAAGGAATAGATAAAAGGTGATTTTTTTTTCTTTCCACTGATTCTTATTACTGCCTTTGATGCTCACTAGCTTCCTGGTGATCAGTTCATCATATTCAGTATATTTGATCTTAGGTGATATTTTGGCCTGAGACAGTAGTATATACTGATGCAGTGTATTGGTGTGGCAAGTCAGGTGCCTAGGACCAGAGTACTACTGGATACAATGCTATTATTTTAAAAGCTGATAAAATTTTTTAATTATTCTGACTGCTGAGAAAGACAGTTTCTGAAAAACAAACACTGTTTAAACTTGCGGTTATCAGAGACAGTAGTTTGGGATCTTCCTGATGCTTACCTCTAATCTGGTGGTGGCAGGCCAGCGTGTGGCTCTCTCACACCTTACCTTGTCCTGCCTGCCTCAGTATCCTGGCAGCCCTCCAGGCCCCTGCTGTCAGAGAGCCTGACGGAAACTCACTCTGTGCTTCTCACATGACATGCTGAGTGCTAACCACAGGCCTCCTGAGCTGAACCCCTAAAAGTGTGGGGTTTTTTCAGTCCCTGTGACAAACTAAGCCAGAATGATTTATTACCTTTGTCCTTTCACAGAGTATCATATCAAAGTATGCTGCACTTTCAAAAATGCCTAATATTCTTTCACATAACAATATTTATAACACAGCTTGATAAGAAGCGGGAATGGGAAATGATGTGCAGAGTAAAGCCAGATGTTGTCAAAGACAAAGAAACAGAGAGAAATCTTCAGAGAATTGCAACAAGGTAAGATTGTTTTTGCCCTTTAAAAAATAAGTATATTAAAGCTTTGATAGTGATCCATTTCTGACTTGACCTGATTCTTAAACTCTGCCTTCCCAGAGCCAAGTGATTTATATCAAAACCTGCCTATTTAATCCTGAATTCAACCAAAAATTTTACAGGTCTCAGGAGGCAAGAATATAACGTCCTCAGTGTATATTTGGTTTGAACCTATTGCAAATCATATCGTGTTTGTAGTCAGGAGAACAGTGTAATTAGACATGCATTTCTCTTAATCATGGTTGTCTGAGTTTATGGCAATAGATTATTTTTGCTATCTTACATTGTACTTAGGGCATAACCAGTTTTGCATTACAGGAGCTTTATGCCGTCCTTTCACTCTGAATTTTTTTCTTATCATTGGCACCAAATGTTTATTTGATGCCCTCTGTGTCCAGAGATAAATAGAATCTGGTGGCTGCCAGGTGGTCTTCGCCTGCTCACTGGTAGGAACTACGGTCTCTGAGATTAGAGGTACGTCCTGTGTGTTGGGAACTTAGAGCAGGAGATTGTCAGGGGAGTTGGGGAAGCTTTCACAGAGGAGAGAACATTTGAGCGGCTACTTGAAGAAGATAGCAGTTCTGCTTAGTGGAATTAGTTTTTATTTTCTAGTTACCTACATTATTTGGGTCATTTTTTAATCCGTATGAGTGTTCTGTAGTGAGATACATAGAGCCAGACTGCTAGGTTCAAATCCCAGCACTGACTTACTGCCTGTGTGTCCTTGGGCGTGCTACCTAATTTTTCCGTTTCAGTGTATTTACATATAAAAACAGCAGAATATTATATCTACCCTGCAGGATTTCTCTGAGAATTAAATAAATTAAAAACATATAAAGAATTTAGAAAAGTACATGGTTGGTGCATGAGAGTAAGTGCCTCCTTAAATTTTATACCTGAGACACCTCACTTTGGTCCCAGCCCTGCTCCTAAAGGGTATGGAATTTTACCCTCCGTATAAACTAATAAGTTAGTCTGTTAGTTTCCTGGATACTACCAGAAGACAAGAGACTTTTGGGTCAGAGACTATTACTCTTGGCAAAGCAGTAGCCATAGCGTCACATTTCCACTGGTTCCCTTTATCCCTCAGTGGTAACACAGGTGCCCCGTATGGATGCTTGAGCGTGCAGTGGGTTGTGTTACAGAAGAACACTCTGCTTGGGAATCTATTGCTTTTTTGGTGAATGGTAACAAGCCTGCTCTTTGCCTGGGGGGGAGACGTTACCTCATCTCTCAAGGTTGCATCCTACAAACTCAACACTCAGAAATGACCTGTGTAACGAACAGTCAGGACCTTGCATCCTTGAAAACCCTAGTAAGAGTGTGCCGGGATACTCAGGTTCCATGGCAGAGTGCCTCTCCCAGTGATAGAATTTTAGAGCTGGGAAGGATGGTAATGGTTTAAGTCAGTATTGTCCAGTAGAAATATAATGGGAGCTACATATATAATGTAAAACTTTTTTGTAGCCACATTGAATACAGTAAAAAAAAAAAAAGATAAAATTAATTGTACTAATGTGTTTTATTGAACCTAAAATATTCAAATTATTTTTTATTTTATCATAATCACTATAAAACAATTACCAATGAGATTTTAAAATTCTCTTTTTTCATATTAAATCTTCAATATATTCAGTCTGTATTTTAAACTTGGAGCATATTGCAGTTTGGACTAGCCAGCCACATTTCATGGCTCACTAGCTACATGTGGCTCATGGCTACTGTGATGGACACTGCAGGTCTTAATCCTCAGAATTCTTCTTGGAATGAACTTAACTATAGACCAAAGTATTTAAATAAGTATTTCATTTTAAAACAGGATTTTAAAATTCGTTTTATATCGGGGCACCTGGGTGGCTTAGTCAGACGTCTGCCTTTGGCTTGGGTCGTAACCCCAGGGTCCTGGGATTGAGAGCCCCGTATCGGGCTCCCTGCTCAGTGGGGAGCCTGCTTTGCCCTCTGTCTGCTGCTCCTCCTGGTTGTGCTTGCACATGCTCTCTCTCTCTGTCAAATAAAGGAATAATTTTTAAAAAAATTAGTTTTATACCATAGGAGTTGCAGATAATATAACAATACTTTTTAAGCCACTCGAGTATTAGTATTTCCATTTATAGATGAAACTGAAATCTAGAAAACCTTTCCTAGGGTCAGATGGTTAGACAGCTAATTGTAGAGGCTGTTCTCTTTCCATTGCACTGTGATATCTTCAATTACTGTGGGAAGCCTGCTGCTCCCTCTCCTACTCCCCCTGCTTGGGTTCCCTCTCTTGCTGTGTCTCTCTCTGTCAAATAAATAAAATCTTTAAAAAAAAAGGTACTTTTTAGTTCTGATTGCACAAAAGTTGATTTAGAAAGATGAAAACTGAAAAGAAAAATCACATATCAGTCCACATATATTTATTTTCTATTCAGAAATTTGTATTCATTCATTGAAATGTATATTCATTTTTTAGATTCAGCTCTTCATTTGAGTGCCTATTAAATGCTTGCCTCTTTCCTAAGCAGTAAAAACACATTGTTCTTATCCTCACAGTTTGTATCCTAGTGTAACTGCTACTTAACTGTGTCATTCTGGTCATTTTATATTCTATAGAGGTGTGGTACAGTTATTTAATGCTGTTCAGAAGCACCAAAAGAATGTTGATGAAAAGGTTAAAGAAGCTGGAAGCTCTATTAGAAAACGTGCTAAGTTGATATCGACTGTTTCCAAGAAAGATTTCATCAGTGTTCTGAGAGGGATGGATGCAAGTACAAGTGAGAAAAGTTCGACTGGAAAGAACTTGAAAGCCAAACAGGTGAGACTTTTATATAGGATTTAGTGCATCAGACTTTTAGTTCTTAAAGTTTTGGGGTGAAAAAGCACACTATAAATTTAAAAGTTTGTATTCTTAAGTTTCATGATAATTTATTCAGTATGGAAGTTGTCAGTTATAGGTGACATACATACCCCTGCTGTTAGAACTCAGGAACCAATGGATTTGGTTAAATCTTTTAGAGATACTAGGTCTCTCCCATCTGAAATCCTGCCTTTTGTGCATTTTGGAGACTAGAAACCTAAGTGAGGGATACAGCTTCAGTTTGCGACTTTGACCCACAGCGGTAATTGTGATGGCATATAACTTCTAAAATGTGAAGGATCAGAGCTTTGGGGAACATAATGGAAGGTCATTCTTGCATGAGGTTGCTTGGTGATGTTTGACTAGTTGGAAGATGAAGAGTATAAATACTCTTCCGGACTTCGGCATGGTAGCCTTGCTCCTGCAGTGCTTTTGACCTGTGGACTCCAGAGGTTGCCTTTCTAAAGGTACCAGGTGAAAGGTTTTGAAATGTGCTTTATTCTCAAAAGGGCTGTTTTGTTTTGTTTTGTTTTTTAATTAAAGTACTGGTGTGTTTGATGGCTTAATTTCTATTGCCAACAAAAAGTACTTTAATCAGGAGTCTCCGTTGTAAGTTTTTTGTTTGTCTTTTGGTTTGCCAGTTGAAACTCTGGCAAGAAGAGCATTTAGGAATTTCATGCTAACCTAGAGCTGAAGTATTTTTCAAGTCCTTTGATTGAGTTGCCATTTTACCTAAATTAGACAAAAGGTTTCTAAGCTATTTAACTTTGTCTATCTCTTGCATGTTAAAGGACCCAAATTGTTACTTATTTATTTATTTATTCAAAGATTTTATTTATTTATTTGAAAGATAGAAATGGCGATAGAGATAGCGAGAGAGAGCACGAGCAGGGAGGAGAGGGAGAAGCGGGCTCCCCACCTGATGGGAGCCCGATGTGGGGCTCAATCCCAGGACCCTGGGATCATGACCTGAGCCAAAGGCAGACGCTTAACTGACCGAGCCACCCAGGTGCCCCCTCAAATTATTTTTTAATTATCTACGTAATACTGCTGCTCACTGGTGCAGCTATTTTAAAGTGTCAGAATTAATTACAAACACATGAATACTATGTTTGGGGGTCATTACTTTTTAGTTAAAAAATCTAACCTGCTCTGTTCTCATGAGGGACATTTTATTCTAAAAACTGGAGAAAGATCTAGCAGCATTAAATGAGAGAGTTAGTAGGAAGATGGAAAAAGAAGACTTATTTTTTTCTTTTTTCTATTCATTTCAGAACGACTTTAATAGAAGCATTTGTTTTTGCTTTGGTATTATTTTTTTCATGAGTTATGAAAATATATGAAGGGTTCTTTCCAGTACCATTGTTGCCTTTTTTCTTACCATTTGCACTTTTGCCCTTGACTTTGTTTTTTTCTACTTCACTGTCAAACTGAAGTGGCTTTGCTCTAAAAGTAATTTGTTTCTAGAACTTCTTACCCCATACTAACAACATCTTGCTACATTTCTTTTAAAAATGTTGCTTTCACTTTGATTTCATATTTATAGAACAACCACCAAACTCTCTTTATTGGACTTGATTTTGCATCTGAATAATATAAAAGTACTATAATATTTGTAATTGGGTCAGTTATTAATATCAAAAGTATCTGCCTAGTTGTACCTGGTGCTATCCTTGTATCTTTTAAAAATGTCTTGCAATTCAGATAGATAGATGACTTCAATTAAATAAGTAAGATTAAAAAGTTCTAAATTAGTATGTCTAGACTGCATGTGATCATCAGTTACATTAGGTACAGTAAGAAGTAAATTAAGGGGCTGCCCTATTCGTGGGGGGGATTGTGATGTGACTGTCATATTCAGTTAGGACATAGATTAGTGAATCAGTGTAAGTTACCGGGAACAGGTGGACTTTTAAAGCAGTTGAAGAGAAGGAGGGAAGGGAAGGTTGGGAGTAGTATGCCAAAACATGATTCAAAAATGAGACATGGATTAATGAAATGGATAAAGAAGGATACTAATTAAATAGAAAAATAAAATTTTCTTTTCTTCTCATATTTTACCTTTTCCTAGCACCATTGCTACTGCACCTTTTCCATGCTCCTTCCCTTCTCAGACAATCAGAGAGAAGAGCTTTAGGGAAATTCTTGTCCCTTTCCTGGGCATAAAGGGTCAGAACACAGCCTTTTTATCCTGTGTTCCTAATATTATGAAATCTTTACAATTAGAGTCCATCCACGTATAAACTGGATTCACTGGGAGCTGTCTATCAGGATACCAATCTGGAGATACCTTCATTAAGTCTTCAGCTCCTTTACCCTATTACACCTGTTATTTGTAGTTGTGACATTAATGTCTTATGTTCAAAAACAAAAAAGAGCCATTAGTTTTATATTAAGAAAGCTGGATAAAATTGTAGTAATATAAACTAGAGGTTGGATCCATTCTATGAACATACATTAGGGGTGCTTTTGGTTGTGTCTGGTTTTTGTTTTTGTTTTCTTATTCCTTAGGAACACTCAGAACTTGGAAATTTACTTTTAAGAGCCCCTTTCTATACTCCTGCAAGATATAAGAAGTTTTAAGGCATTGTGACAGATGTTTCTTAACTATGTTATGATCCTGAACAAGATACTTTTCTGAGAACCTTTTTTTTTTTTTTTTGGCGTTAAATGCATTTTATTTTGAAAGCAATAGGAGCATGGTTCCAAAAGGGAACTTGTGACTAAAAAAATTGCCAGTACTCTTCCCCATCCGTCTCTGCCCCTTGCTATGCTCCCTTCCAAGGTAAAGATTTTCAGTTCTTAGATCTTTGTTGTGGTATTTACCTCTGTATCTTAAATAATATTTAGACTTTTTTTAATCAATATTAGATGCCTTTTATGGAAGACAAAGAATTGTCATTCTTTCCTTTGCTGCCATACCTCCCATACTGTGTCCTTCTAATGTAAGCATATTAATGCTTTTAGGTAAATCAGTATTCAATGTAAACATCATTTACTCCTGAACAAAGTAATGTAAGATAATAACTTCTTTATTCTTCAACTTAGCTTCCTTACAGTTTTTGTTTTCCTAGAGGTAACAGTTGCCTCTTTTTTTTTCTTTAAACCCGTCTCAGTACTATTTTCTCCATGGTCATGGTGCTACAGTCTAGACTGGTGGTTCTTTACCCTGGTATGCACTGCGACTTTGCTTTATCACTGTCCTGGGAATTCCCTTTGCTTCTTCCCTTTGCAGTAGCCTCTGTTTCTTGGACTGTCTTATTATCTTTTGGCTTTCACTCTCATTTTGATAAGGTCACATTTACCAGTTGCTGTCTGGAAAAGGGTATAGGATATCTTCATTTTTAGTTGATGTGTTGGCTGAATTATGCGTAAGTAGATGGAACAGTGGCCCCTTTAATGCTGAGTTTGTGTTCTAATTCCTAGAACCTATAAAATGTACCTTAGTTAGAGAAGGGGTCTTTGCAGATATAATTAATTTAAGGATCTTGAGGTGAAGAGATTATCCCGGATTATCTGGGTGGGTTCTAAATCCAGTGTTCAGTATCCTCACAAGAGACGCACAGGGGAGATTCGACAGAAGTGGAAAGGCAAAGTAGCCACAGAGGCAGAGGTTGGGGTGACGTGGCCGCAAGTCAAACAGCGTTCAGTATGTAGGCTTACTCAATACGGTCTCTTTGTATTAATCAGCGTTCCTGAGTTCAAGACTTTTCTGGTTTAATGTCTTCAGAGACTAAACTACGTGTCCATGGTAATGTCTGTCACCTGCCTCCATAAGCCAGGAAGGGAAATTAAAAGTCTATGTGCTTCTTACACAGACTGTCAGCCAATCCTGTATTTTTATCCCACCCCTCACGTCCACCTCCCCGCTTGCCTCCAGTTCCTGAGCATGGATCCAGTTTCTCACATAAACATTAGCTTTCCTTCTCTCCAGTTGGTTATCACTGCTCCACCCAGTTTTCATTTATGTCCCCAAACTTGTTGGCATATTGTATCTGTAGTTATTTTCCCATCTGATTTTTTCCTTGTTTGTTTATAACTTTTGATACTTTTAGTGGGCTTTCCATAAGAATTAGAGATAAATGCATGTCTGCTATTTAATTGGAAGACTTCCTTTTTATTTTAAAAGCAAGAAGGTTAATCTTATTGTAACTTCTTATTGCTTTAATGGAATTATTGGGAGTCTTAAATTAATTATAAGGTATTTCGCAAGCAGTAAATCTTTTAAGTATTTGAAAGTGGGCATTTTTAATGTTTTGAAGTGGATTATTTAAAAAAATACTTGTTTATAAACATTTTTTCTAAAATTTTAGCCTCATGAAGAGGAAGATGTCCACTGAAAGCAGATATATGCCCCTCCTGTATTTATCTGGGTTTGTGTTTTCTTGGAAACCAGCTTTGTGATCATCTCTAGCCTTTAAGGATCTTCAGATATTTAGATTCATGTTCTGGCATATCTGTGGTTAACATTGTTTCTTAGGAAGTAAAGAAGAAAAGAGAGTGCATGATCTTTTAAAAATTTGTCAGTATGTTGATTTATTTTTAATCTCATAGATAAGCAGAATTACTAAATCATTTCTTTATACAGCACGTAGCTATGATTTCTGTCTGTTTTAAGCGTCACATATATTGTGCCCTACATATCTACTTTTGATTTATTTCATTTTATATTTCTGTATTTACTGTTTTTGTGAGCTACAATTTCAGCTGTTCAAAGTCTGCTTGTTCCATTTAAAAACCATAATCTTCTTCAAAGGCTTTTGGTGCCTGGATTGGAGCAAAGTTTTTGTCTGTTCCAGAGACTGCCTTTCACATCATTAGCTGTTTATCAAAGTATTTTTAACTTTCTGATTCTGCTGACTTGGGTAATATTGTTGCCCTTAGAATTTTTTTAATCTGTTTTGTCTTAATTTTATTGTATGCAATCATTATATCTGGAGTAAAGTAGTTGGGAAAGC